AATTATAACATAAACATGATATAACATCATTAAAAAATAGCAATTTTGTTTCGACACTTCTGGTGTCTTCTCAAGTGATGGTGTTGAATGTAGAATAAAGAGTTTTAAAAGGTTCAAATCAAACACCACTCAATAGGGAAACGCAATGTACAATGACCAATCAAAATACAAGTATATGATAATTTAAAAATACTTGACAACGAACCTCGGTTATAATTATTAATGTCTTAATATTAATGTTAGACTAAAATAGAAATTATTCTAACTGATTACTTTTAAATTTTACTATGAAATTAAAAATAGAAATTACCAATTTTACATCTTAAATATAACCTGTATTAAGTATAAAATATCAGATTATTTAAAGAAAAAAACTGAGGAAAATATACATATATTTTATTATTTATTTTATGTTTTAATCAAAAAGCCAAATTGGGCATGGAGAAAAATATATAGATAAAAATAGGGTTTAATAGATAAAAGTTAAGATGGGGTAGAATTGGAAAACAAATATTCGGCTATGTAGAAAGCAAAGAAAAAAGACAAACGTATATTTACAAATGGACAGACAATATACTCTCTCTCTCTCTCTCTCTCTCTCTCACACACACACACACACACACACACACACACACACACACACACACACACACACACACACACACAAACACAAGGAACAACGGCCAAATTCAAATGTCCAGGCAAAATGCAACATGGGAAATAAAAATAGCATATATGTAAAAAAGAAAACACATTAACACACAAATATATAGATACAAATATAAAAATACATACATACGCATACTCATACACATACACATATATACACACACAGAAACAAATAGAATGCGTGACGCCTTGAACAAGAAAGTTGAGATAACTTGTCCGTTTCTTTAATGATCAGAATATTTTTAAAAACCAATATTCGATAAGATTAAATAATGGTGTACAAAGTAGTGCAACTAGAAATTATAATTTTTTTCAAGTCTTTTTTCATATTAAGCACGCCATATTACGAGTTATCTCCCTTAGACTTGTTCATATTTTAGAGTTACTTCCCTTACATCCAGCATTTTCATACACAAAATCTACATTTTTTATCACTCTAAGTAAAGTGTTGGCTTTTTCTTTTTTATTCTTAGTGCTTTTAGTATTTTTAGTCTTTTTTTAATATGTGATTGAGACTATTATACTTGTATTTTCTACGAGTATGTTATGGATAGAGTTTGGTAGGTTTCCGTGTGTGTTTAAATGAGTCCGAATTGAGGAAAAATAATAAATACATAAATAAATGTATAATAAATATAATGTTTAAAAATAAAAGCAGGGCATCTACTCAAATAGGGTTATCCACTAAAAGTAAAGTTTAAAAGGATTGATAAATAAAACTCATTTAGTTCGTTAGAAAATGGCTTTGTTTACGTTTCGATACAAAACTGAGCAGAATATATGACGAGGAAGATTTCGCCTAAAAGCACTATTCAGCCATACTTGATCGACGACATTCTTAGTGGTGGTGTCAGTATAAGCATAACGGATCTAACGACTGTTTCATCTTCCCATGTGGGTGTGCAGGTTCGAATCTTGCCGCAAGAGTTTGTTTAATAAGATTTCTCGGATATTCAAGCCGGTAGACGATACTGTGTACTAATATAAACGAAGCGTCTTGTCAAATATTGGTATCCATTATCCCATCTTCTAGTTAAATAATTTAAAACAGTAAAAGAGAATGATAAAAGTATCGTTAGTAACGCTATACTCGTTGCGTAAACGCGTACAGCCATAAACAACCGAACGAGAAAATGCTAACCATCTTATAAATGTAAACAATAGAAAAGATGCATATTCGATATGTTTGTATTTTGTTTATTATGTTTGTATACGATACTAATATGTGAATATTGCATGGATTATTATTAAGTAAAACATCAGTTTTATTAACATTATGTTTATTTTAAATAAAGCTGTACGTTTTGACTACAGTAAATGGATATACAGTTTGGTCGAAGCCAGGGCCAGCAGTACATACGCTAATTTTATATCTCGCGTACGATGCGAACCCCTTAAAATTAGATCTTCAAAGGTCGCATGATACGCGAATATGTACAGCAGACAGACAGATAGATAGATAGATAGATAGATAGATAGATAGGGAGGTAGGTAGGTAGGTAGGTAGGTAGGTAGGTAGGTAGGTATGTAGGTAGATAATGAGCAGAGATAAATAGTTTGATCAATGGTGTAGTCAGAGCCAACAGTACATTTGCTAGTTTTATATCTAGTCTATGATGCGACCCTCTAAAACTTAGCATCAAAATTAGGTCTTCAAGTTTGTTGATGTATACTAATTGTAAGCAAGAGTACCAATACACACTAAAATGAATGCGTCATTTTTTACAGGTACTATAATTGCTGCAAATAATTACGAAGCACTTTCTTAAGCGCGTGTGTCTGCTTGCGTCTCCCATTTTATTTACTGACAAATTAACTTGTTTCTTTTCAGAGCCGATGGCGTAGCACCAAATTTCACCACAAAACCATCCACCCGACAAGTAGGAAAAAATCTTGTGATGGAATGTCAGTTGACAGCAGAGCCCAAACCATCATTAGAATGGTTCCGTGACGATGCGCCAATAAAAAGCGGAGGTGAGTTTCACGCAACTTATTTGTTTCAATTTTTGTATTCCGACGCATTTTTTTTTCTTACGGCTTGATTTCGTACGATAAGGCGTAAGTTCGACATTGTGTAATGGTTAGCACGTTTGTCTCACTCGGTCACTTACGACTAAGTAGTGGGTTCGATTCTCACTAGGTACCATATTTTCCTATCACATGACACATGTAAGTTACACATTAAATCGCAACGATAATCTTGCAAGACGCTTGGAGTGATCTCCCTTTGCTGTTTACATAAAAACCTACGGGCCGGATCGAGTATAAAAGAGTAGACGATAGGCTAGATAAATATTGTAGAAAATATCCGAATTTTCCTTTAAAACAAAACACTCACACACAGATATGTATTTAATAGAAAACAAATAGGAAGCATTTATGAATGTAACATGTTTCACTTTTGTTAAAGACTGATATATATATATAAAAAAAATAATGAAATTAGGGTATTTTTACTTTTGTGTTGTTTGATATTCATTGCTCAATCGTGTATCAAGTGCATTCGACTCATTTAAATAAATATATAATTTCGGGTATATCTGTCGTCCTCCTCCACCTCTCTCTGTCACCTTACACCAACTTAAAACTATCCCTCAAAAGTGTATAAAAATAATACGTAAATTTAAAACTATTTTTATGCTTAGAAATGTGATCTGAAGAACCTAGAAAAATCACCTTCCTGGGGAAATAAAAATGGACCCTTAAGGTTTTCTAATTTTAATTAAATTCATACATACATACATACATACACACACACACACACACACACACACACACACACACACATATATATATATATATATATATATATATATATATATATATATATATATATATTTGAATAAAAAACAGACCACGTTAAGATTCCATGTAATAAGCTATTTCACCATAACCCCTTTAACAGGGTTCTGGATCATCAAACTTTACTTTCAAAAGCTGAAATGAAAAATGAAAAGAAATTCACACGTTTTTGACGGACCTCATCAAGTATACGTAAAGTTAATGAAGTGAGGAAGTGAGGTGGGGGAGAGAGGATATGAGTGTGTCATATGTATCATTTAGTTTCCTATTTTTAACCCCAGTGTGTCGGCTAGATGTTGCTCAAATTTAACGCGTCTCGTCTTTAGATATAGGTGGCTAAAGGGGTGAATGATAAGAACGACATATCATCCTCCTCAGGTCTACACATACGGATTACCTAAGTTTGCATAAACTAAAATAATATATATATATATATATATATATATATATATATATATATATCTATATAATTATTTATTTAAAAATATGATTCCAACGCTACATAAGAGTTCTCATGTTTCAAGACAAGAGCCGAAAACTTCAATATAATTATTTGAATTAAATTGAATTAAAGTACCAAGCTCTGTTCCATCTTCAAGCGAATTTTATTTTTAAATAATATCGATTTTATTTTTAAATAATATCGACGTGTTCTGTCTATCAAATATCTTATTAAATTTGAAAAAATTTCGAATAAATTGAATTAAAAAAAAATGTAATTAAGTAAAAATAATACGTAAAAATGCCAGTTTGACTGTTTAAATGACGTCACTTTGGGTTTCTTGAAATTGGTGCCATAAAAAAGTTAGAACATAGGAAAAAATAAATATACACAAAACACAATCTCTGAAAACGGATGTGGTAACATTCGAAAGTACTCGGAAATAATAATATAAAATAAAAATAGATACGAACTTTGGCAAATTTACCGATAGCGCAATACACACTAAAACACTTTTATAGTCCAATCACGGATAACTATATATAATTGTATATTTGGGCAGCAATCCCTCTTTTATACAACTTTCATTGAAGACATCTGACAAGGCACCGTGATTAAGCTTTTCATTAAATTTTTTCTTCATTCGTACAAGTGATTAATTTTCTGGACATAAATTGTGTAAAACAACTCTCCAAGTGTTCTGCAAGTCGGAGTGTTTTAAGCTAATCAATTAGTCATTATCTAGGATGTTTTTGATTGACTAAATATGTAGAAATGTTACATGTTTATACGGTTTATAGTGATGGGAGGTACCTTTAATTTCCGAACACGGTCAGCACGTTGTGGCCTTTTATCATGAGATTTGACACCCAAGCATATACACAGACACAGAAACACACGCATGCACACAGAAATGCACAAACAAAACACCCGCACATGCAGAAAAAGAAGTTAAAAAAAAAAAACATCCTAACGCCAATTATAAAGATAAGAAAAAGTTAGTTGTCGAAACCTCCTGACGAGTGAACTGAGTAGCATCAATCAACTAAGTGACAAAATGTATTTATATATATATATATATATATATATATATATATATATATATATATATATATATATATATATATATATATATATATATATATATAGCGAGTTGAGTCACTGTTGGTCACTGGGCGTGTTTCTAAAAATAAATACGCTAAAAATCCAGCATCACCCCTACCGTGTGTCGACGGCTTAATGGTTAAAATCTCCGACTGACACCTAGTCAGTTTGGTTTCGATCCTAGCTAGAGGCAACCGGATGTCTAGCCGCACTGTTGAGCTGCGAAACCGTCTGTCTGTAGATGACGTTATATATATATAAAACATTTTACATATATATATAACATTTTACATTAAAATATATATATATATATATATATATATATATATATTATATTATATTATATTATATTATATAATATAATATATATTATTTTTATATATATATATATATATATATATATATATATATATATATATATATATATATATATATATATATATATATATATATATATATATATATATATATATCGCTGTAAAAAGTAGGTATACAGTAAGTATCCTTCCAGCATTACCAGTATTCTAATAGCTAAATATACTTGGGAAAATAAAAATTATTTGAAGGGGAATTTTGGTATTTTTCTTAATCAATATTCTACGACTATAAAGAAACTGATTCGTGGACTCGAAAGGATTAAAACAAAAATAAACAGGTATAGTAAATCTAAATTATTTAACAAAACCTGTTTGAATGAAAGTATGCTCCTAAATCCACACACACACACACACACACACACACACACATATATATATATATATATATATATATATATATATATATATATATATATATATGACTGTATGTATTGCATTATTTACGTTGAGTTTCTGATCGTCTATCTCTCTCTCGCTCTCTCTCTCTCTACATACATATACATATATATATTTGTGTGTATATGTGTATTAGATATTTACGTTCAATTGTTGATCGTCTCTCTCTCTCTCTCTCTCTCTCTATATATATATATATATATATATATATATATATGAGTATGTGTGTGTGCGTGTGTATTACATATTTACGTTAAGCTGTTGATCGTGTATAGTTATGCATTATATAAACTTTACATCTTTTCCTCTTTGTAGCTTTTTGAAATCTTTACTTTTGTCCTTTCGGGAATTGATTGTGATCTTTTGTTTTTCTTTTATTCCAGGTCGCATTACGATTATTGCGGAATCGAAAGGACCCCAAACCTACCTTTTAAAATTAGAAATCAAAGATGTAGCAAACGGAGATGCTGGGAACTACAAAGTTATTGCCAAAAATGAACTGGGAGAGAGCAACGCCACTATAAAATTGAATTTTGACAGTAAGTGTTGCTAACTACGAAACTAATGCTTCCATTTTAGAAGCGTGTTTTTTTCCCCCTTATTTTTGTCTTTGTCTATTATTCGTTTATTTCTCCTTTATTCTCGCAGTTTCCCGTCTATTTCTGTTTAGACTTAATAGTTAGTCTATGCGAGTGATTCGAGTTTTGGCATTTATTTTTTTTATTAGTTTAAAGATTTCGTTTGCTTGTATTAAAGCTTTGCTGTTTTTTTATTAAATCCTTTCTTTTCAAATAAGTCAATGTTTGTTTTAAAGTTTTAAAAACTTAATCGCGACGTATTTAAGGATTTTACGTCCCGTTTATCTTTAAAAAAATATCTTAAATTAAATGTGTATAGAAATAAGTGAAAAAAACAAAAAAATAAAACAGAGAATACAAAGTCTAATTTATGGGGAAGTATAATATAAAACGTACGGTCGAATTCTGTACGGAACGAACTTCCAGAAATTTCGTTGGATGTTCTATAATCTTGAGAGGAATTAATCTCGCTCAAAATGCTTTGCAGTACAAATAAACCTATTCTTTTTTCTCGTTCCTCCACGTAATTTTGGCTGCTCTCATTACGCCTCAGCCGATCTATTCTACGGCCTCTTTTAGCTATAGTAGAAGTATAAATATATTTTGCTTTGTTTTATCAAATAACTAAGTAAGTCTCTCTCCCCCATATATATATATATATATATATATATATATATATATATATATATATATATATATAATGATAATTTTCGTTTTAAAAAATTTGATTCCGTCGCGACACCGAAATTTCTATGTTTCAAATCTGAAACTGAAATTGTAAATTTAATTATTACAATCAAACTTAAAATCCAGTGTTTCGTTCCATTGTCAAGCGATGCTAGGAATAGCTTCCTAAGAAATATTATCATATCACCCCATTCAAGGCAGTAAAGCCACTAAGACACAAAGAGCTACTGAGTGTGAAAATTAAAAGAGAAACATTATTAATGAGCGAGTGAAATAGAAAAAGAATAATCAGGAAGACAGTAGATAAAGATTAGTGTTGCATTTAAATTTTTGAAGATCAAATTTGGCTGGAAAACATGGAGACGGAAAAGAGTTCCACGTGCGAGCGAAGAAACTGTTAGCATAGAACTTACGGTTGCATCAAGCCAATTCAACTATGAATTAATGAGACCTCGCCTCCAATCTCGTACTACGTTTAGGTACCAGAGCGAAGAGTTCACCCGAACAATTACCATGAATGTACATTTGTAGAAAAGGGAAGCTACATTATGGGTGTGGTAAAGTTAAATTTTGTAATTAATTCTGGATTATAATTAATTTCTATTCAATATAACGATATTATATTTCCCCTCGTTAGTTAAACATGTTTCTTTGTCATTATTTAAACTATTCCAAAGCACTTGTTTCTATGCACGTAAATGCCGGTTATTTCAATAAATAAAAAAAACTTTAGACAAACAATAACGCCTTCGAAAGGCCTTATTTTCTGAAATGCTGGGGTTAGGGTTGCCAACCGACCCTTATTAGAGAGGGTAGTTTTCTATTTAGCGCTTTCTGTTTGGTCTCTTTTAATCTGGGAGCTAAAAAAAACAATGTGTATATATATATATATATATATATATATATATATATATATATATATATATATATATATATATATATATATGTCAAGCATGTTTTGAGTTTTGTCTGTCAATTTTTATTAAATCTTTCAAATTTCCGAATATATGGTTTTGTTTTATCGGTAAATTTCAAAATTGACATTAACTTTTATTTTATATTATTTTTTCCCGAGTACTTTCGAATCTTGCTAAATTCGTTCTGAGTGTGGATACTCAAATGGTCTTTAATTCCAGTCTCCTCACGTTTCCTGGAACCAATTCCATGTCACTCAAGTCAAACTTAAATTTGTATGTATGTATGTATGTATGTATGTATGTATGTGTGTGTGCGTATTTTTTTTTAAATGTTTGTATTAAATACATATCAATATACGGTCCCCTGTGTAGAAAGACACTTTATTTAATGTCAGCTGCATTTCCTTAATAAATTCAGATATTTTCAAGATTTAATTAAAAAAAAAAATGGCAGACAGATCGTGTCCATATTATTCAGCAAAACATGTTTGAGAGAGTTCTTACTGTCAAAATAGACCTTATGTAATATATATATATATATATATATATATATATATATATATATATATATATATATATATATATCTTTAACTTGATTAAGTTGGCAACTCTGGCTGGGGTTTGGTTGATGTTCATTTCTTTATTAGTTTCGATTTTCTTTCATTTGATTTTGTTTTTTTATTTAAGTATTTCAAAATATTTGTTTAATATTTTTGTCCCTCTTTTATTTATTTATTTGAGTCTCTTAAATATTCCCACTGAAATAAATTCAGGTCCTTCCTTACTTTTATTGAATTTTAAGACTAAAAATAAAAAACAAATAAACAAAAAAAAAAAAAAAAACGATTTATTTGCGACTGGATTTGTCGTATTGTTTCCAACCAACATGGCTGTCTACTCACCTCACACTCAACAATCATCTTCTTTCACTTCTACGCCACCTAATCAATCACTACACTTATCAATATATTCGTCTGGCTTCGGCTGGGTAGTTTGAAAATAATATTAAACTCACATACATGGGGGCAACCGTCCAGGAATTATTTCTCCTTTTGGAACGGTATGGAGTCCAAGAAATTGGTGTTGCGTGTGCTTCACCAATTTTCCACAGTATTACTGTTAAACCCACTTTAAACCTACACCTTTTGTCATATTCGTTAGAGACGTGGGCGCACTTTAAAATCCACTTATCAATATGTAATAATATCCCCAAATTATTAGGGGAAAGCGGGCTACTAATAGATTTTGAGAAAAACTCAGTCCTGCATCCATTATCCTAATTTGTATATAGCATTTCTATCTGAATTTCTGGGATGAGAATTTATCATTATTTACACTATTTATATTCGGACTATTGTTCTCATCTTTGTCGTTGTTATCACAACGTTTCGGCCGTTGTACTCTCCGGCCTTCACCAGGAGTATATCGATATGGGTAACTTACAGGGAATTTTGAACTGAATCCTTTATTTAAGCTAACTGTTCTTTATTTAATCGACTGTCCTCATTCCATTGCCCATATCTAGAGATATCACCTAGTTTTTTTTTTTTTTTTTTTTTTTGTACTGCTCCGTAATTGTGAGTTCAATCCCTGTGCTGGGCAGTGTGCACTGAGAAGCAGTGAAAACAGGGTGGAGCATAACTGGGTATTTATAAAAATCATTTGCTACATAGCTGCACCGCTTCTACATCGAAAGATCCCTCTCTTTAAATTCCATATCCTGTCAGGTTGTATACAATCATAGCTCTCCGCAGCTTCCTTTATTTCAATATTAGTAAACAGTTTTTGATTCTTATTGGGAAAATAAATAGAACGGTTTCCCATTGAATTCTTTACAGTTTTGAATTCAGAATAGTTCTTCGAGATCGATTGCGAACCAAGACTGTAGGTCCCAGTTTATCCTTTTAATTAACCCCGCCTCCCAAAATAAAAGGGAAATTTAAAAGAAACTTTATTTCCGGTATATTGTAAGCAGATTACCGAAATGAGTTCTAATCAAATCCCCATGCATACACATAACAAGAAGTGACAGACCAATGGGTGTTTTTTTTTTTTTTTTTTGTTTTTTTGTTTTTTTTGTTTTGTTTTTAATTGTCCCGATTTCTATTTCCGGTTAGATTATCCTTTTCCGGTTGAACTTAATCAATTAAATGGTAAATGTTCTAAGAGGCTCACACGTTATATTTTTATTTTTCTTTAGTCAAAATGAATTCCTTTTGTAGCTAACCATGTACTTGCATTTCTATAGTTTTAAATCAATTATAAACTATATTCGAATAAAAAAAAAACTATTATATAAAGATATTTTTAATGCTCAGGTTCTAGGTGAGCATGGCTCCCCACAGCTTCCTTTTCTTTATTATCTCTGAATTGCTATGCCTTCTTGGGAAAGATAGTGGAGTAGTTTTCCTTCGCATAGATCGGATGTCATCCAAGGACCGTGAGTGCCCAGTCTACTCTGGTATTTAATTCATAGTTGGGAGATGGAAGGAAAGATGAATTCATGTCTTTCCAAAGAACATTTGCGCGAAAGCAAATGCACTAGCCTAGACTGTAATTTGATCTCGGCTTGCTGATTTCGGTTTTCGCACCGATGTCCCATAGTCTGACCATCCTTTAACGAAACGAAGTTCGTTACACGCTACATATGAGTTCTCAAGTTTCAAAACAAGAGCCGAAAACTTAAATATTATTATTTTTTCGCCTCTTGTTTTGAAACATGAGAACTCTTATGTAGCGTGTTGGAATCATAATCTTGAATAATTATATGTATGCTCTACTTTTGTATGGAGCACTATTTTTAAAAAATAATAACATAAATACTAAAGAACTTTGGATTATTTACCTAACGAGTTCTTTCCTATTTTCTATATATTTTTCACACACACACACACACACACACACACACACACACACACACACACACACACACATATATATATATATATATATATATATATGCCGCGTGTAACAGAAAAATTGCCCTAATCGTGTATCAGTATAATTGTCCATCGCCCCCAAAAGTTTAATATCTAAAAAAACACTAAACTAATTGAGTTAATTTTTTACAGTTTTTCAGATAAAACTTTTAGCCATCTTGACACCATTTGTCGTAAGAATCAAACCCTTATTCATCTAGAGAGAGAACAGGCTAAAATTGTTTTGTGTCAGACACACTGTGTCTTCCCAAATGAGCAATGGTAAGAGGAAAAAGATCATTCAGGCTTTCAGTAATGGTACAAACATTCATACTTGGGCTTCCATCTTCAAAGTTCATTCAAGAACCATCAAGAGAATGGTGAATAAGATTAAAAAAAGAGGTAACAATAGAGAGGAAAACTGGATCAGGAGGTCACA